CTTTATACTGATGCGTCAGTCTTCATTATGAATTGAAAAAAAAAACATCCTTTGGGTGCATCACATGTAAGTGACTCTTTGATTACGTCTGTATCAGTTCAGATTTCCAGATTCAACTGGATTTTGGTCTGCAAGTTTTCATTTAGACTCAATATTTTTCTAAATTGATTTCTGATTCATGTCAATTGAAAACAAATGCTATTGGTATTCCTGAAAAAGAACAGTGTGGATCAGCTTACATATGGTGAAATTAAAAACCACAAACCACAAATTTCAGGTTCACATGGGCACACATTAAAGGGTCACGAAACACATTTTTTGAGCTGTTGACAGTCGTATATGTGTCCCACACTGCTAAAAACACTATTAGGACACATATATCTGACTAAAAAGTGAAAATTGGTAGTTTTTGCGTTATTTCGAGCAAATTCGTACTTCCGGTTTGAAACAAATTTTTGAAGCTGCGTCACGGCCATGAGATCTTAGCGTGTATTCCAGCGTGTTGACTGGACGTCTGTACCGGGGCGTCCCGTATTACGTCTCCAATTGTGCTGCATTAACGCATGAGTAAGGCTTGGTTCAAACCAATCAGCGCGCTCTATTGTGCAACTTCATTAATATTCATTAATGTTACTGTGTAGACGGCAGAGACGCCACATTGTGCTGGCAAAACAAGCGTGCAGTGTTGCTTTCATAATTTCAAGTCCAGTTTTGTTTTCATTTTCTCTCTGTGAGAGCGCAGCTGGACTCACATGTGGATTACAATATATGCGACGCGACACGCGACAACAATAACTTACATGTCTAGGAACGTTGCTTACCCAAGAGCTTTTCTCTTCTGCAAATAGAGATCCGGATTCGCTGCTCGTCTCCTCTTAATAAAGACGCGGTTCTAGTTGCTGTGGATTGTCCTTTCTCTACAGATTTGGTAAGTGAGCGACCAGTTGCCTTTGTTTATTTAGTTTGTTCGTATCGAACTAACTATTGCACCGAGTGTAAACATGTTAGCACCACAACCAAACTATTACCGTCGTGTAGGATTTTCACCGCTTTTTGCGACCGGAATAACACACGTGGCTTACCTGCTGAGTGCATCTAAGTTACAGAGAAATGCGGAGTTTATTTTTTTCTCTCATTCGCCGTGCGGTATAAAACATTGCAATAAAAATACACGCTTACAGCAGTTCCTCGAATCAAATATCTCGTTTGTCACTAGGGGCACAAATCAATTCCCTGAATGAAAGTGCCAAACTGCAGTTGAAGTACACCATTTAATAATTTGGCAAATAATTTGATTACAGATGTCCATGTAAACACAGTCCCTTTCTCCCCTGTGTGTGTGTGTGTGTGTTTTGACTCTGAAACTCAGCGCGTAGTCAAATCGACATTCCCACACCATCCCACTTTTGCTCCTCTGACACTCCCCCCTAAACAGAGCTGGACACGCCCACTTTTCTGGCTTTTTCCAAAGTAGAGGTGTGAAAACACCCTGCTGAAACGAAGGGGTTCATGGCCCTTTAAAGCCAAATCCCATGTACACCCCTAAACACTTCCCCTTGCTCCTACCTTTTATTTTGCGCGTTCACGTGAAGGGGTAGGGATATCCCAATTCTCTTTGGCTTAAAGGAGTAGGGCTAAGGGGAAGGGCTAGATAGCCCTCGAAATGGAGACTTTTAGGATCACACTCGAAACCAAGGGGTAAGAAAATTTCCCAGAATACACCACCTACAATGGCAGCATACTGTAGCTGCACACAGAAGTGAGGAGATGCACAAACTAGTATTAAAAAAAAAAACTAAAATAATAATAACTCCTGTATAGAAGTCCCACAACATGCGACACTCGAATAAACTGTCAGAAAAGTCTAGTGGCTGTGAATGACCATTTTACAGAGTCTGATATAAAGTTAATGTTGTTTTTGTATGTTTACGTAAATGAATATGGCCACGGTGTAAATGCACAGTACAGTTACAAGCTTATTGCCGCGTTATACCATTATGTTACCATAATATATGCCTTCAGTGATTTCTTAAAGATAAATACCCAAAAATAACACAATGGGAATAACTACAGCAGTCGTGATCGTTAATCTCATATGAATCAAGAGATCAGAATGAAATATGATGACGTGGGCAGGTGCTGTAGTGGTATCCCATTTCTTAGGGGTAAATTTTGAAGCCCTTCCTTTCTCACTCTGTTTCAAGGGCCAAGGGAAGGGGTAGTTGTACAAAAACAGAATTGGTATTGGGCCTAAAACTGTCAGATTTCTTCATTTCAAATGCAGAGAAACTTTTAACTGTAGGGATGTGAGCATTTTTGTGTAATGTTGTCAATGGAAACCAGATTAAGTTGACATTAAGAACAAGTGACTGGCTACAACTCCAAGAGCTGAAGAAATTAAAGACTGAAGCAAAGTAAAAATAGCTCATTTATTTGCTCAAGATGAAGCTAGGCAATTTGCAGTGTGTCATCTGATATGACAAAGTAATCAGATTTAAATGGCTAGAATAGTGATATATTTTAAAACATTATGCTTTGACTTAATGAGAACAAATGTGGCAGCTACGTCACTTCAGATGACAGAGCAGGGTTCAACGCTAAGGATTTTTTCTACTGGCCCGATCGGACCAGTGGTTAAGATTTTTACTTGCCCTGCCAATATTTTTACTGGGCTCACCAATAAAAAAAGAAGAGCTATTTCTTAGCCACAAATAAAAAAAAGTGTTACAATGTTTGTATATCTAGAACTTAAATGTTGAAAAAAAATTAATAAATGTAAAATGAGCCAAGTTCAAAGTGTTGATGGTTGACCTGCCAAATTGACGGCAAACTGTACAAAATATTGCTTTATTTTTTAGTTGTGGTGCACCCTTGTAAATGTCTGCTTCCAAGATGTTAAAAACAAATGTTTTTCATTAGCATCATCGTTTGATGTTGTCGCCATGTTGCTGTCTCTTTGCTGTACTGGTTGATACTGAAAAAAATAACGTGCTCACAACATCCAATCAGATAAAAGGAACCGAGAAGGTAGCATTTGAAGGCTTGAAAACCCAAACTGTTTGTCAATTCAAAGGCTGTATTTGCATGCAATTGACAAATAGTCAAAGGCAAAATAAACTTTAGTGACAAGGCAGCAGTGGCCCAATCGGGCCAGTAACCATCCTGTCTACTGTCCCAAGCATCTCAATCGCTGGCCCCGGGCCATCGGGCAGTCCTTATTGTTGAGCCCTGCAGAGGATATTTTTTTTTTAATATATGGCTTGTAGATGTTGATTTTTATGTCATGTCAACCTAGACTTTAAAGAGGTGGTCAAAATCATTCAGGATCAGTACCAAAGGTCACAATTATGTTTCATACAGAGATGACAAAAAGTTCCACACGTGCTCTAAATGTGATCCATTGACAGGCTATCAAATTACCAAGTATGAAATCCTTTAAAAGTCGGTGAGTAATGAGACTGTGCTAATGAGAGATTCAGATGTTAATCAGAGAGATTCAGTCTGATAATAGTATTTTACCACAGAATTCTGTTTTTAATTCTCTCCTCAATGTAAATCCGCCGGTGATTCATACACATATGAAACTTTGTGACTCACAATGCATTTATAACTTTAAGAGGCTAGATGCTGGATCTACTTCATCAATTAATACTAATTGTTTAGAGGCCGGGCGGGAGAATTTCCAATGAGTGCCACAAGAAACCACACTTAACCTCTGTGAGGACTCTCTGAATTTAAAAAGGTTATTAATCGAGGGAAAATCTCCTTTTATTTGGCTGTTCCAGAGTAAAGAGCCATTAGCAGCAGTTGAGGCACTTTTTCTTGCTATTTAACTCCCGCATTATGTGATAATTTGATTTATTTTTCCCTTACTATGCACCTTGTACCATTTCCGCATTAGCTCACTGTTTTATAACTCACAATTAGGTTATTTGAGTGCTAGCAAACATGACTTCTATATACATACAGTTAAAGTCCGAATTATTAGCCCCCCTGAATTATTAGAATTTTTCTAATAATTTAACTGAAAATCATATGGTTACTTTTGATTTTACGAGGACTTTGAACTTATTTGTTTCTTGCACAGTTAATCATCAGTATAGTTATCAGTAAATGTCAAGTTGTTGTACTTTATATCAGTGTACTTAACGTGCACTTACAGTGTACTACTAACTTTTTAAGAGAACTACCTGAATTACGTTCAGGAGTAGTAGGCTATGGTGTTTGTTATTATGAATGATGAGTAGTATCTAGGCTAAATTGCAAAACAGTACTGAAAAATAAAGTTAACAGTTAAAAAATAACACAAATTCAGTACTAATCAGGACTTTGTGCTTATGAAGAAAAAATAGAAATGAAAAATAGAAAAAATAGAACTTCATAATTTTTTCCTTTGATTCTGATCTTTTCTATGATTTTTATCAGGATGATTATGACAGTTCCTTTTAGAAGTAATTTGAAGCATTTTGGTACAATTCCCTGAACTTATTTAAAACTTTATAGCCTATTCAACTTTCAAAATTAACTAAGTGTTACCTTGTTCCGTGAGACATGTATCCTATTGGCTAAAGTTAATGTTATAAATTTCAACTAACAAATATGTCTCAATATTTCGACTGGGAAATAGGCCTATTAACATCACATAATATGATAGGAATCGATTGTCAGCCTAACAACTTCTAAAAAAAATGGTGTAAACACTGACCCCTTTTGAATTGATTTAAAATTCTACACTTAAAACCATCTTACAATTTGGTCAGTTCAATAAATAATGACATTTCTCAAAATTCCTTCCTCAAAAAGTGCTTAAGAGAGCCGTCAAATTCCCGATGTTCAGCCCCAAATTTACCAGAACAGTTCCACTCTCAGAGCCAGTCAGTCAACCCGTCAAGGTAAACTGCTACCTGACAACAAGGCCCCGGTCGGTCGACAGAGAAGTTAAGCATCGAGGTTTGTCAAATTACATGCATTTATGATGGGACGGATCAAAATCGCATTACCTGTGGAAGCAGTTTCCATGACAACAGGGAGCGGTTGCCGGTCGCTTTCGGGATGGCTGGAAAACTGTTTCTCCACACTTGACTCGTCCTCCCAGTCTCTTGTCTGTCTCTCCTCTCCCAAGACATCACGCCGGGCGGAGCTGGTTCTCCCAAACCGATCAATCTTCTCGAAATCCTCTCCGTACCAGCTTCCCTCCGAATCTGCCTCTGGCTTCTCGGACATTTTGGAGCGCTCGTCTGTGTGGACTTCTCTCAGGGAGACACGGTGACAGACTGAAGACACGCAGGCGAATACACTGTTCAACTCCCCGGATCAGACGCTGGGTAACTATCCAAAGTGGTTTGGGCAGGCCGAGCGCTCCGAAAGAGGCTCACGCGGCTTGTTTAGTTCAGTGTTTCGGCGCTGACGTCACCATGTCTCGAGCCCATGGTGGCACGCAGCATTTAAACCCTTAGAGCTGGAATTTGTGCATAAAACACGACTTTCGACACCTGGTTGCAAATTAGGATGGGTGTTGTTAAAATTATTTAACAGAAAATAATCATGTCGACAGAATGAATTTCGAATGAGCCTCAGCCAATTTGTTCTGAGGTAACTAAAAGACGAGCACATTTACTATTGAATGATAATAGCATTGTCCTAAAAAGTTACACTCGGCTGTTAGTGCGTAGTCATGGATCTTATTCAGTGTTTTATTAGCAAACATTGCCATCTTGTGGTAGTAATTATTACTGCAGAGGCCGTAGAATGTTTGATCAATGTTTAAGGTCAAATCAAGGTGCAAAGGCAAACCCATAAAAGAGCTTTATTTGAATAAATTTGCAGTTTACTCAGAAATGAAATTCACTAACAATTTAGTCTGCTTACCTCCACACCATCCAAGATGAAGGTACGTTTTTTCCCTTGGCAAGAAAAGCTGAAACTGGTCTTTTGTGATTCATGAATTGCAAGACAAATTCTACCACAGCTTTGAGAGTCGGGGGGAAAAAAAACATACACAGGCAAAGCAAAATGAACACCTGTGGCTCCTGACCACACATCATTTTTAAGAGGATAAATCTCTTTTAAATCATATCATTGGGTGCCTTCTCCATTTCTATCAATTGGTGGACTTTTGGTGTCTTACCTCTCTTACCTCTGGCATGCTTGGTTTGGGTTAGTGGAGCTTCTTTTAGTGGATTGCTCTTCAAGGGTGACATTATCAAAGGGATAGTTCACCCAAAAATAAAAATTACTACTTTCTTGTTCAAATCCGATTTGAGTTTCTTTCTTCTGTTGAACACAAAAGAAGATATTCTGAAAAATGCTGGTTGCTGGGACCCATTGACTTCGCAAGATTTTTTCTTCTATGGAAGTCAGTAAGCTCATTTTTATTTACATAGAAATGAGCTTTACTATACAAGATTTTAAAACTGTCAATTTAAACAGTCTGTGAACCTGCATTATCAGATGATTGATTTGCTTCGATATAATCAATAATATTTACTTGATATCCAAAACTTTTAGCTTCATCAACAGTGTTTATTTATGCCTTGTGAATGTATTTAAAATAATAATTTATTCATTCATTAATTAGCTTTTTGGCTTAGTTTATTTATTAATCTGGGGTCGCCACAGCGGAATTAACTTATCCAGCACATGTTTTATGCAGCGGATGTCCTTCCAGCTGCAACCTATCAATGGGAAACACCCATATAGTCTCATTCACACACGTACACTACAGACAATTTAGCTTACCCAATTCACCTATAGCACATTTCTTTGGACTTTTGGGGAAACCGGAGCACCTGGAGGAAACCCGCAAAAACACGGTGAGAACATGCAAACTCCACACAGGAACACCAACTAACCCAGGCGAGGCTAGAACTAGTGACCTTCTTGCTGTGAGGCGACAGCGCTACCCACTGTGCCACCACTCCGCCCTAAAATTATAATATTTCTGAAGTCTTCAACAGAGATGTGAATTGCGCTGACTCTCTCGTGTGTCCTGTGATTAGCTGTTTGCTACATGTCACAGTTTTGTTTGCATGTGGAGTTCCTTTCAAACTATGGATTAAACCCTGCATGTTCATATCAAGCTTGTTTATATTGTAAAAGGCTTTAACTTGGCAACCAGCATTCTTCAAAATATCTTTTATTGTGCTCAACAGAAGATTTCAACATTTTGGGTGTACTATCCCTGTACTGCTGTGGTAAATTATCTATACTACACTAGCATTCTACCACTACTCTGCACACACTGAAAATGTCCCACAAACTGAAATAATATGGCGTTGTATTCTTTTTTCTGAACATTTAAGTGGCTTTTACAAAATTTTTATTCATTTCATTAAAAGCACAATAAATATGAAGACTTGACAGCGCCACAGTGGAATGAACCGGCAACTATTCCAGCATTTTAAGCAGATGCCCTTCCGGCCGTAACACAGTACTGGAAAATACACTCTCGTATTCACACACACTAATACGCAATGGCAAATTCAGTTTATTCAATTAACCTATAGTGCATGTCTTTGGACTGTGGGGGAAACCGGAGTACCCAGAGGAACCCACGCCAACACAGGGAAAACATAACACAGAGAGCGACAGTGCTAACCACTGAGCCAAAAGACTTCACTTTAATAATACAATCATGTAAATGTTATATCATTGCGTGATTTGAAATTAATTATGAATTATGAAATTAACCTTATAGCCATTGCTGAATATACAGATTTCGCTATTTGTCATGAGCCACATATTAAGTGTACATTGACAAAAAATGACAGAAGAAAAATCCCTGTTAGACCTTTCTAAAACCTGTTGGACAACACGTGTTGAACAAACTTAGGGTTGCAGAGTAATTTTCAGGTTGACAAAACCAAAGCAAATCGGGTTAAGATCAGGTTTAGGGGTTTTACAAAACTTGATATGAACATCCTCAGGGTTTAATCTAGAGTTTGAAATGAGCTCTGGACCACATACAGCTAAAATTGTGACATGTGCAGCAAACAGCCAATCACAGGACACATGAGAGAGTCAGCGCAATTCACAATTCTGTTGACGATTTCAGAAATATTATGAATTTAAATACATTTAAAAGGCATAAATAAACATTGTTGATGCAGCTAAAAGTTTTAAATAACAAGTAAAAATTATTAATTTGATCAAAGCTAATCAATCAATGTAAATAGCTCAAGTGATAGTTTTAAAAGCTTTTATAATAAAGCTTGTGTATGTGTAAATATTTTAATGTAAATTTGACATTTAAAGCAATTACTAATATTAACTGACCATTTTAAAAGTATTTGAATATATAATATGTAAATAATTATGATTGGTTTCATATAAATGAATTATTAGCAACAAAAGACAAAATTTAAAATGATTTAATTGTAAAAGGCTTTAATTTGGAGCAATAAAATATATGCATAGGGACTGGGAGTAGCTTTATTGAACAGTATATGTCCTTTTTCTCAAGGCTGATTGGTCCAGTTTGGGTTTATCATCACTAATGCCGAAAAAGTTACCCAAAGTGATTAAACCTGATCAAAACAAGGCTACCTTCTTGGGCCCGAAAGCTCAGACTCAAACTAAATGTAAACTTGTATTTTTTAGTAATGTTAATGCATAATAAGCGATGCAGTGGTGCAGTAGGTGCTGTCGCCTCACAACAAGAAGGCTGCTTGGATGCTGATTCGAACCTCGGCTCAATTGGCGTTTCTGTGTGGAGTTTGCATGTTCTCCTTGCATTCGCATGGGTTTTCTCTGGGTGCTCCGGTTTCCCCCACAGTTTCAGGTGAATTGGGTAGGCCAAATTGTCTGTTGTGTGTGAGTGTGCGACCCTGGATTAATAAAGGGACTAAGCCGACAAGAAAATGAATGAATGCATAATGCAGCATTAATAATACAGAAAACCCTGATGTAATTTCTCTCATATTAATAGTTTTCATCAGCTGCTTAGAAAATTATGTAATTTTTTCTAGTTATGTACATTTTCTTATTATATTAGTTTTTCTATCACATATTCAATTCTATATTGTGTTTAAACTTTACAGATAACCAAGTCACAGTTTATTGCTCCTGATTTTTTTTTCAGATTGGTTTATTTATTTGGGGTATTGTTAATAGAGAGAGTGACAAATGAATAGCAGTATAATAACACACATTCTAGTGAGATTTCTCTTCATCTTTCTTGGGCAAATGAAAAGTTGATGCTTTATTACTTTGCCTCTGCAGTTTTTCTCTCTTGCCCTTGTGTCATTAAATGCCATAGTTAACAACCGTTCATTATGACAGCTATATATTTATTCTCAATATATTTCTGCATTGTGTTTCATGTTTCTGACCCTGAACAGATCCACTTGACAGTCCGTGTTTACTGAAGAAATTAAATGATGATCTTTTGAATCTGAATATTATTAACATAGCTACATTTAATAATATTTAACCATGTTGCATATATTAACATATTTTTATATTTGCTAGTATTTTTTTATTTAAAAAAAAGAGATATTTAATTCAGTGTTGGTATAAATACCTGAGCATATCTGATTGATTTTTCATGATTGCTATGAGAAATTGTGCATTTCATATTATAATAACTGTATATGCTACTGTATGTTTATTGACAAATTATGCCTTTAGTTTCATAAGGCATAAATATGCTTATGCATATAAGCATTTAATGTAAAGCATGGCAAAAATGCCCGAGCCTATTTGTTTTTTGTACATAGATATTATGCATTTTACACCATAAGAGAAAATATGAATTGGACTTAATAGATATACAAAACGTGTGTGCGTGTGTGTGTATATGCACAGTTGAAGTCAGAATTATTAACCCCCTGTTTATTTTTTTCCCCAATTTCTGTTTAACGGGGAGAAGATTTTTTTTTTCAACACATTTCTAAAGATAATAGTTTTTATTACTCATTTCTAATAACTGATTTATTTAATCTTTGCCATGATGACAGTACATAATATTTTACCAGATATTTTTCAAGACACTCCTATACAGCTTAAAGTGACATTTAAAGGCTTAACTGGGTTAATTAGGTTAACTAGGCAGGATAGGGTAATTAGGCAAGTTATTGTATAATAATGGTTTGTTCTGTAGACTATCCAAAAATATATATTTATAGTTTAAAGGGGCTAATAATTTTGACCTTAAAATGTAAAAAAAAAAAAAAAAAGAAAAATTTTAGCCAAAAAAAAAAACCAAAAAAACAAATAAGACTTTTTTCTGAAAGAAAAAATATAGAATCAGACATGCAGTGAAAATGTTCTTGCTTTATTAAGCATTGTTTGGGAAATATTTAAAAAATAAAAATATTCTAAGGGGGGCTAATAATTCTATGAATTATGTATTTAAAATGTATTTAAATATCATGCAAAATATATGTAACTAT